CTGAGTCTACGGGCAGCGTTGAGACTATGGGCATGGTTGAGTCTATGGTAAGTTTATGGGTAGTGTTCAATCTATGGGCAGTGTTAGTATATGGGCAGTGTTGAGTCTATGAGCAGTGTGAGTATATGGGCAGTGTTGATTCTACAGTGAGGGAAAAAAGTATGTGATCCCCTGCTGATTTTGCACATTTCCCCACTGACAAAGAAATGATCAGTCTATAATTTTAATGGTAGGTTTATTTGAACAGTGATACAGAATAACAACAAAATCCAGAAAAATTCATGTCAAAAATGTTATAAATTGATTTGCATTTTAATGAGGGAAATAAGAATTTGACCCCCTCTCAATCAGAAAGATTTCTGGCTCCCAGGTGTCTCTTATACAGGTAACGAGCGAGATTAGGAGCACACTCTTAAGGAGTGCTCCTAATCTCAGCTTGTTACCTGTATAAAAGACACCTGTCCACAGAAGCAATCAATCAATCAGATTCCAAACTCTCCACCATGGCCAAGACCAAAGAGCTCTCCAAGGATGTCAGGGACAGGATTGTAGACCTACACAAGGCTGAAATGGGCTACAAGACCATTGCCAAGCAGCTTGGTGAGAAGGTGACAACAGTTGGTGCGATTATTCGCAAATGGAAGAAACACAAAAGAACTGTCAATCTCCTTCGGCCTGGGGCTCCATGCAAGATCTCAACTCGCGGAGTTGCAATGATCATGAGAACGGTGAGGAATCATCCCAGAACTACACGGGAGAATCTTGTCAATGATCTCAAGGCAGCTGGGACCATAGTCACTAAGAAAACAATTGGTAACACACTACGCCGTGAAGGACTGAAATCCTGCAGCACCCGCAAGGTCCCCCTGCTCAAGAAAGCACATATACATGCCCGTCTGAAGTTTGCCAATGAACATCTGAATAATTCAGAGGACAACTGGGTGAAAGTGTTGTGGTCAGATGAGACCAAAAAGGAGCTCTTTGGCATCAACTCAACTCGCCGTGTTTGGAGGAGGAGGAATGCTGCCTGTGACCCCAAGAACACCATCCCCACCGTCAAACATGGAGGTGGAAACATTATGCTTTGGGGGTGTTTTTCTGCTAAGGAGACAGGACAACTTCACCGCATCAAAGGTACAATGGACGGGGCCTTGTACCGTCAAATCTTGGGTGAGAACCTCCTTCCCTCAGCCAGGGCATTGAAAATGGGTCGTGGATGGGTATTCCAGCATGACAATGACCCAAAACACACGGGCAAGGCAACAAAGGAGTGGCTCAAGAAGAAGCACATTAAGGTCCTGGGGTGGCCTAGCCAGTCTCCAGACCTTAATCCCATAGAAAATCTGTGGAGGGAGCTGAAGGTTTGAGTTGCCAAATCGCAGCCTCGAAACCTTAATGACTTGGAGAAAATCTGCAAAGAGAAGTGGAACAAAATCCCTCCTGATATGTGTGCAAACCTGGTGGCTAACTATAAGAAACGTCTGACCTCTGTGATTGCCAACAAGGATTTTGCCACCAAGTACTAAGTCATGTTTTGCAGAGGGGTCAAATACTTATTTCCCTCATTAAAATGCAAATCAATTTATAACATTTTTGACATGCGTTTTTCTGGATTTTTTTGTTGTTATTCTGTCTCTCACTGTTCAAATAAACCTACCATTAAAATTATAGACTGATAATTTCTTTGTCAGTGGGCAAACGTACAAAATCAGCAGGGGATCAAATACGTTTTTCCCTCACTGTATGGGCAGCGTTTAGTTTATGGGCAGTGTTGAGTTTATGTGCTGATCTATTTTTGTAAATTATTTTTATTACCTTGATTTGAAGCTTTCGTGACCTCAGGAATCCATAATTTTTGGTTCTTTCGGTAAAGTCATGTAGCTAGAAAAAATAATAGATCACGACGTTTCGATCGCAACACAAGCAATCATCATCAGGCGGAAGAAAGAGTGAGTTGTTTTATTATACTTAAATATATACATTATTTCGGCCTTGGTTTGTGAGAGCTTGGATGACTCCATAAATCAGGCACAATGGTCATTCTTGATTTGAATGGTCATTGTAATATTTGGTATTTTCCAGAATCTTATTATATAGAGAAACCTTTCATAACACTCAATGCTTCATAGCAATAGAGCACCTGGGTTAAATTTACAACTGGGGCACCCTTCTGTTTGGAGTTTTCATGGTCCCTCCACCCCCCTGTTATGTAGAGTGAGTCAGTGAAGTGTGTTTTCTCTCTCCTGCACTGCATGGATGATTTCTGGGTTCTGTGATATCCTGCTTTAACTAAAACACATTCCAATGCTGAAAAAAATTCCTCCAAAACTATTCAGTAAACAAATACGCACGGAGAGGCAACAATCAACTCCCTTCCGCAAAAAAAATCGATAGGACTTTCCAGAAACATAGTATCCAGACTCAGTGAGGCATTCCTGGGTAAACAAGAGTAACAACACATTGCAAATAGATAATGAAATGCTACTTTGGTTATTTAAAAAAATCGAACATGCTTCTCCATTTCTAGCAATAATACAGGGGATGTTAAGATGTTCAAAGATAAAATAGACACCGATTATCACAAGGCATGGAGTCTGCATTAACCACATATGCTTGTGATAAAACATGCGAACAAACATGCTCTGAAAATATATGATTGCTGGCCGTTTTTTGTCAATGTGTGCCTCATATGCCCCTTGTGGGGTGTAACTTTACGCCATGCATTCGGTGTGTACTTCCCTCTGGACAAATACCGAGCGGCCTCTACCATCCCCCACAGCAACTCGCAGCTGCGCTCTCCGGGAAAACCCACCCTTCTCTACCCCCTCTTCCCTTTGCACGCATCCATCTTCCAGCCATATTGGGCAGAAGGGTAGTGGCTACAGCCGTCCTTAAGGGTACATGGCGAATTGGGGCGACCACCCCGGGCCCCCCGTTTGGGGGGCCCAAAGCTTTAACATCACGCTGTTCTATGGTTCTTTCGGTAAAGTCACATAGATAGAAAAAATAATCATAAAAAATAAAGTGATTAAAAAATATCACGACGTTTCGATCGCAACACAAGCGGTCGTCATCAGGAACAGGGAGATTAGCCGCTGAAGGCAAGCTGTTTATAAAGGTTTAGAGATGGGCGGGGCAGCTAATGTTAATGTAGGAGAAAGCCCCACACCGGCAGTAGGTCTACAGTCTACACCAATCAAATCATTGCACCTCGCTTCACACACCCACACTGCTGACGGTGAAGGTTGACAAGAAAACACAAATCAAGTCATGACCCAAAGTGGTTGATGACATATTTCCAATGATTGCTGAGCTTATAACCATCCTCTCGGTTTAAATTGTGTCTGTATCTGTAAATATGGATGGCTTCACGAACGAATCTTTGTTGATAGCCAGTAGGCTTGCAAAGTACCATAGTCTTAGAGAAATCAATTTCGTGCGAGCCAGCTGCATTAAAATAATGATCAGTCACGGCAGGAATATTGGTCCTACCATGTTTCAAATCTGCCTTATGCTCACGAACACGGTCCGAGACATGTCGCTTAGTTTCCCCAATGTAACTGCTGCCGCAGATACAGCCTGGTTTGTAGACGCCGGGATATTGCATGTCAGGAATCTTGTCCTTCACAGATGGGATCAGATCACGAATTTTATGTACTGTTTTAAATTGGACCTGGATCTTGTGTTTGTTCATGATTTTGGAAGTATTTTTGGTTACCTCTGCTATGGCAAGGTGATGGTTTTGATTGGATGCCTGGATGATGTCCGTCTCAAATTCCATGAAAATATTGGCTACAACCGGAGATAAGAGATAACCCATTGTGGGGCCTTCAGTTTGTAGAATTTTCTATTCCAGGTGAAGTATGTATTTGTGAGGCAGTGCCTCACCAGGGCCGGTACATCAGCATTCCATCCTTGTTGAACCAAATCTTCAATTATTGTAATAGTATCGGGCACAAAAACTTTGGTTAACAAATAAACTACATCGAAACTAACGAGCAAATCACCTGGGGACAGTGAGATGTCTTTAATTGACGATACCAGGTGAGCTGAGTTAAGTACAGAAGAGGTGCTCTTACCAGTGAATGGCTGCAAGGTCTCAGACAGATATCAGGCCAGTTTGTAGGTGGGTGAGCCAATGGTGGAGACGATGGGACGAAGGGGTGTACCTTCTTTATCGATTTTTGGTAAGCCATATAATCTGGGTGGTCTAGCAGCAGAAGGTTTTCAGGAAAACAGTTTGGTCTGTTCAATTAATGAAGCTGAATCAGTGATGATACTGTTCGTTTTTGTAACGAGGCTGTTGGTGGGATCTCTTTTAATTTTTGTGTAGCTACATTCATGAAGACGGTCCTGAATTTTGTTATTATACACGGTTTTGTCCATGATGACCGTGGCATTGCCCTTGTCAGCGAGAGGATGACGATATCCCTCTTTTTCAATTGAGATAACTCAAAACGCTCATCCTTACTGATGTTGCCGTCTGGTATCTTATTGCTTTTGAGGGTTGCAGCGACTTCAGATCTTGTCATGTCTGCAGCGATGTGTCCCAAACCCTTAAGAGCTACATCGACCTGGGAAATGATGTCATCCACTGGTATGTGTTTGGGGGTGCCTGCAAAGTTTAACCCTTGAGCTAAAACCGACTTTACACCATCGGAAATTGGGCTATTACTCAGATTAATAACAACCTTAACGTCTAACTTTGTAACATGTGGGTCTGATTTCTTCTTGGAAAGGAGGTTGAACTTGGAATTCAGGTTATTATTACATTTAGCTGACATTGTAGCAGCTGATGAAGCAGTCAGGTTATCTACATGTTCCCAATCAGATGTCAATGTTAAGTGTGATTTCAAGAGTGTCTTGTCTACATGATCTAGTTCAGAACGGAGCAGTCTAATTCTCTCTGAGATCAGGGCCAAGCTAGCCCTGAACAAGATTCATTTGGCATTGGAAGATGTGATGCCAGCAGAAGTCAGTGTAAATGAGATCGGTATTACCTTAGAGTCGCGGCATCTCTTCAAAAATGTGAGTGACTCGATCAGATGAGCTTTCTTGTCTTGGAGTTCGTTAAAATATCTTATGGTTATGTGGAAACCCTCCCCATAGAAGGCGGTAAAATTTTGACTTAAAACTTTCGTGACTGCAGGAATTCATATTTTATGGTTCTTTCGGTAAAGTCACATAGGGAAAATAATAAATAATACTTCTGGTTTAGTTTTAAGGCGTCGGGGGGCCCCCAGTGGGGGTTTTCCCCGGCTCCGCACCTCCCCCCTCATGGAAGGCCCTGGTGGTGGCACAGTGGTAACGCTTGTTGTGCTTTGTGAAAAAATAAGAGTTCTGGGTTTTGATTCCTGACTCCGGGCACCATTCTGCAGGGGTTTCCGTTGGGTTCACGGATTTTTCTCCCACAGATAAAATAACAATACACGTGACTCGTCTTGGCAAATATCTGAATTCTGAAACATTACTTGCAAGTGGTACCCTGAAATTGTGGCAGGAGTAGCTCGGGCGAGAATGAGAGTCAACATCAAAAGTGATTTCGTACTCAAAATGAGCATTGAGGCGTTGTGCTTATGTCCTGTTTACAGTCCTGAACATTCTTCAATCCTACGGTAAGGTGAGGGTATAAATTGGACAACCACTGTTGACTTCCATACAAAGTAGTGCAGTACCCTACTTATAAATTATTCCCCCACGGGGATAATGCGCTGAGTCAACTCAACAAAGAGGGTTTTGAAATAGTAACCTCCGATGAGGGGCTGGCTGTTCGAGGCTAGAATTTTGTTGATGAAAGCCTTGAATCGCGTTCTTAAATAATGTGGGGCAGCTCCTTCAAGGTTGTGTTGACTGTAGGGGGAACTGTGTGATTCATGCGTCGGTGTGAGCCGTAGTATAGGAAGCGGTTTACTCTACGAACCCAGCTACCCGAGTTTGATTCCCGATCACGGCTATCACCAACATAAGTGACAATTATCTGAACCGGTCCTGGGCCTCCCCGAGGTCAGCTCAGCCTCAAATGAATTCCTTGTGCAGTGTGTAGTGAAACAGCGCCCCTGGGGAGACAGGCGACCAGCCGTGGTGCTGGCCACCTACTCCATCGTGTGTCACAGTGCAGGCCTTCATATATGATGGTCGCTAACAGGACTTGCCCCAACAGCTTATTTAGGCTACACAGGATATCTTTGTCTCTGTGGTGTTTTTTAATTGTATTGGAAATAAAAAGCAGAACCCATCACAAAACCAACAAGAAGTAAGAGATCCTCTTTCTTTTTTGGTAGCAAGAACGAAACGCCTGGATGCAGAAGCCGCCCACATACAATGTCTGCATGGTTATCTTTATTTTTTATAATACTGAAAAGAACGCGGGTTTAGTCTGTTGCAACTCTCATCAGCCACATCATTTATGCACAAGCCTCGAAAAGACTCCCACTGTCTGCTGAGTAAACGTGTGTACTCTTTCATACTTGTGTATACCCTGTGTATACGCGTGTACCCGTACTCATCATCATACAGAGTGCCGGATTTAGGCATACGATACAGCTTAGGGCAGGAATGGGCAACCAAAAATAAAAACAGCCGTATTTTTCGAATTCCGTAAAAGAAAACTCAGTATATCAAAAGGCGTTACACAGTTAGTTGGAAAATAAAGGAGATAGGGAAAAACTACACTCCAAAACCGCAATTTTCCATAATAGAGGTTTTTGGGTTAGATCGCGTAAATATGTAAATGTGTCGTTAAAACCCGCCACCACCTGACACAGCCAACTGGTAAGGTTTGTCACGTAAACAGAACATGTCAATTCGTCACTAGTCTAGTACAGCACACCGGTGTGTTGGAGAGCCAAGTCACAACATTTACAATCTGAGTACGACGTTTTGCCAGTAATTACAACGAGCAAAGACCCGTGTAATCACCATACTGATACCCAAAGATTCACCACCCATAGGCTAACCATACAGAGACCCATACACTCATCACACAACAGACCCATAGATTCACCACACAGACTCATAAACACACTACACTGAGACCCATAGACTCAGTAGACAGGGACCCATAACCTCACCACAGAGAGACCCATAGACTCACCACACAGAAACCAATAGACTCACAACAGAGATACCACTAGACTCACTACACAGAGAGGCATAGACTAACCACGCAGATACCCATAGACCCAACACGCAGAAAGCCATATAATCAACACAATGAACCATGACTCACTACACATAGAAGACTAGACTCAACACACAGATATCCATAGACTCATTACACAAAGCTAAAAAGTCACCATACAGATACCCAGACTCATCACACACAGGGTTAACAACCCACCACACAGACCATAAACTCACCACAGACCCATAAACTCATCACATAGAGACCCATAAACTCGCTATACAGAGGCATAGACTCACCACAAAAAGAGCCATAGACTCATCACACACAGAACTAAGGACTCAAAAAAGAGACAGACTCATTACACAGTAATAAATAAAGGAATCATACAGAAAACCATCGACTCACCACACAGAGACCCATATACTCACCACACAAAGAACCATAGATTCACCATATAGAGACCCATCGAATCTCCACACAGAGACCCATAGACTCATCACAAAGAAACCCATATATTTACCATACAGAAACCTATATTATACTCAGAACACAGAAACCCATAGATTCACTACACAAACCCAATGAATCTCCACACACAGAGTGCCATAGACTCACCACACAAGACACCCATATACTCATCACGCCGACATCCATAGACTCACCATACTGAGAGCCATAGACTCGTCACAAATAGAGCCATAGATTCACCATGTATAGACCCATAGATTATCTACATAGAGACCCATAGATTCACCAGAGCCCCATAACTAATTGCCACACAAAGAGCTATCGACTCACCACTCAGAAGACCATATACTCACCACAAAGAGACACAGACTCAGCATTCAGCGATTCATAGACTCAGCACACGTTGACCAATAGACTCAACATATTGTGACCCATAGACTCATCATGCAGACACCCATAGACTCGCCACACACAGAGCTATCGACTCAACACACAGAGTACCATATACTCAACACACTGAGAGTACTAAACTTACCAAACAGATTCCCATACATTCAACACACACAGAGCTAAAGACACACTAAAAGAGACCCATAGGCTCACCACAGACCCATAAACTCATCACACAGAGACCCATCGACTCACCACACAAAGACCCATAGACACTATACAGAGACGCATAGACTCACAACACAGAGACGCATAGATTCATTACAAAGACCCATAGATTCACGATATAGAGACCCAAATATTCTCCACATAGAGATCTACAGACTCACCAGAGACCCATAAATTCACCACACGGAGACCCATCGACTCAGCACACAGAGACCCATAGGCTCATCACGAAGATCCATAGACTCACCACACAGAAACCAATAGGTTCACCATACAGAAACCCATAGAATCATCACGCACAAAGCTAAAAACACCCCACACGGAGACCCATAGACTGACCATACAGAGACCCATAAATTTACCACGCAGAAACTGCTAGCCTCAGGACACAGAGACCCATAGACTCATAACTCAGAGAGTCATAGACTCACCACACAAAAACCCATACACTCACCACACAGAGACCCATAAACTCACCACGAAGATACCCATAGACTCATGATGCAAAGAGCCATAGACTCATTACACAGAAACCCATAGACCCATACACAGAAACCCAAAGAATCGCTAAACAGAGCTATCGAATCAACACACAGAGGACAATTCACTTAAAATTCTCATCACACAGACACTCATAAACTCATCACACACAGAGCTAAAAACTCCCCACACAGAAACTCATAGACTGACGATAGAGACCCATACATTTACCACGCAGAAACTGCTAGACTCAGGACACAGAGACCCATAGACTCATAACTCAGAGAGTCATAGACTCACCACACAGAAACCCATACACTCACCACACAGAGACCCATAAACTCACCACGAAGATACCCATAGGCTCATGAGGCAAAGAGCCATAGACTCATTACACAGAAACCCATAGACCCATACACAGAAACCCAAATAATCGCCAAACAGAGCTATCGAATCAACACACAGAGGACAATATACTCAAAATTCTCATCACACAGATACCCATAAACTCATCACACACAGAGCTAAAAACTTCCCACACAGAGACTGATAGACTGACGATACAGAGACCCATAAATTTACCACGCAGAAACTGCTAGACTCATCACAAAGATACCCATAGGCTCAACATAAAGAGTCCCATAAACTTATCATGCAGAGAGCCATAGACTCACCACCCAGAGAGCCGTAAACTCAGCACACAGTGAGACATAGACTCACAACATAGAGACCAATAGATTCACCACATAGAGACCCTCAGATTCACCACACAGAGACCCCTAGGCTCACCATACAGATATCCATAGACTTACCACATACAGCCCCTTAGACTCACCACACAAAGACCCATAGATTCACCATACAGAAACTCATAGATCCACGACATAGAGACCCATAGACTCACCACACAAAGACCCATAGATCCACCAAACAAAAACCCATACTCACCACACAGACACCCATACACTCAGCACACAAATACTAATTAACTCACTGCAAAGAAAGCCATAGACTCACAACACAAAGACCCATAGATTCACCATACAAAGACCCTTAGACTTTCCACACAGAGACCCAGTGATTCATCATACAGAAACCCATAGATTCACCATTTAGAGACCCATAGACTCACCACACAGATACCCATAAGCTCATTATGCAGATAACCATATGATCACCACACAGAGAGCCGTAGACTCAACAAACATTGACCTATAGATTCACAATACAGAGACCCATATATTCAAATATAGAGACCCATGTACTCACCACACAGAAATCCATAAGTTCAACATGCAAAGACCCATATGGGGCCTATTTAGCTTGACAGGGCATAGGGCCCCAGCAATGTCGCAATTCTGTCCTGGTGTTTACCCTGAGCACACGTGCAGCCAGGAGCGGGAATTCCCCAAAACAAGGCAGCAGACCACAATAAGCCATGTGTTGGACATGTGGTTGTGGCTTAAATATCACTGCAGAAGTTGACCAAGCAACTCAACTGTGAAGTTGTTAATCATCCCCTATGTAGTTATTCATCTACTACAGATCACCTCCTATATGACTCAAGCATTGAATGGCACTACTGATAAGCACGACTAAATAATCCACGTATGATCGTGTTTTAAAATCAATTATTTTTCATTACCGGGCAATAATACAGGAGGTGTTAAGATATACACCAAATAGACACGTATAGCAAGGCATCAGTTTAACATTAACGATTCATCACACGTGTGGTAAAACATGCAAACAGACATGTTTTGTTAATAATGTACGCATCTTTTAAATGGATTGGCCTACACCAGAGACTGCCTTCTTTATTGCCTTGTCTCTCCACCAGTGTTAGACCAGAGAACAATGCTAAACATCACAAAGATGATGCAAATATGGAAGCATAAATGTCTTGGCATTGTCCTATGAATACTCTAGTGAAGGCTGGTGAGAGATGATGAGAGTTGTGGGAGGAATGTTAAGAATTATTATTTAATACAATTGTAGTGACATCACTGGATGTCACCATGTTGTGGGTGCAGTACCAGCCCTACAGGAGACGGTGTGTGGGTGCCGACGTAAGATGAAGGTCGTGTGAGGCTATGGCACTCTGGTTGACCCGGGAGGACACGTGACCGGTTAAGATGACAGGGGGGTCATGTGATGGGGACCTAGGTCCTTCCCGATGGGTCTGGAAGGGGGAGGTGGCCAAGGGCGGAGCCAGCCACGCCGCAGAAAATATAAGCCGAGTCCTGAGAGGGATCGTGGTTGTTCATCCCGGGAAAGAAACCCTTCGTCTATGATCTTCGCTCTACGAGTGTGTTGGAACTA